CGATAGGGTGTTAGTAGCGACGTCGTCTTCTCCGTTGCCGTCGTCGTCGTCGATCGCGGAGCCCGGGAACGCCGGCCCCAGCGGCGGAGCCACCACCACCGGCGGTGGCGACGACCGCGTCGCCCCGACCACGCCCGCGAGGACCAAGAAGAGCACGCGCGGGGCCTTCTTGTCCGCGGTGTACCGGGGAGTCAGCGGCAGCGGTGGTGGCGGCGGCAGCTTGAGTTTCAGCAGCAGCAGCAGAGAGTCTCCCCCGCGTACGTCATCCCCCGGCGGCGGCGGCGGCGGCGGCGGCGGCGGTGGCGGCGGTGGCTACGGCAGCAACCGCATCGGCTACAAGAGCAGCAGCAGCAGCGGCGGCGGCGGCGGCGGCAGCGGCGGCGGCGGGGGTGTCGAGGAGGCTAAGCAAAACACGAGCCTGCTCTTCACGCCGAGGAGGGGGCCCCGCCAAGATGGCCGCGCTTTCGAAGGACGGGGGGGTGGCGGCTGTGGCGGCGGCGGCAGCGAGGACGGGGGCGTCGACGCCGGCAAGAAGAGCGGCAGGAGCCGAGGAGCAGCCTGGAGTGGCGGCGGCTACTCCCAAGAAAAAACGGGTGTGTGCCGGCGATGGCGGGGGAGGGGTGTACTGGCACTTTTGTTCCCTCTTTGAGACGGTCGGTCCTGAATAAGGAGGGGTGCCTTTGTATTGGGCCGTCAATCTCGTTGTTTCATGAATTCGGCCGCTGACTGGTGCGGTCACCGCCTTGTATTTGGGTGCATCTCCTCTGAGCTATATAGGCGGTGTACCCGCACGGTTCAGGGTGTTTGACGTGTGCCTGAGGAAGGCCGTCGATGGCCGCCTTTTTGTTTAAGGGCCACACACACGTACAGGCAGACCTCCACATCGGTTCAGCTAAGGCAGCAGTGTCAGCATCCAGCAGCACTAGGCACGTAGACTCGGGTAGGCGAGGAGCCGCGCTGGGCCGGCCCTGAAATCGCGCACGGACTGCGTTGCCGCGCACCCGAAATACCACAAGGTTGCTGGGAACCGTGAAGCGTATGATATGTGCGTTGGTACCTTCTCCTGTGTTTTCCCCTTCACAAAGGAGGTGTGCATGATCGTTGTCGTCATTGTTTTTACTGTTGTTTCTCGCAAGTGGTATGTACACTCTTCGTGCCTACTGTTTTACGATTAGATTCGAAAGCAACGAGTTCCCGCCGTCACGGTACTGTAACCCAAAACTACGGCGCCATGACAGTGATACCCCCCCCCCCCCGCCTGCATGTCACCCTCCTCGCGCGATTCCGAATGGCGGTGATGATGTCGACGTCCCTCCCTGCCGTTACTTGCGCGGTTTTCCTGATGCCGGGATTTTTCTGCGCGCTGAAGCAGGCATCACTGCAAGAGCTTCACCTTGCTATATTCCAGGGCGACACGGCAAAGGTATTCCGCACCAAAACTCGGCCTGAGGGATTGATTGATTGGCTGTGCGGCATTGGCCGCAGCGGCGCTAGTTCACAGCGCTTGAAGTAGAAAGTGGTGTGTGTTGCTCCCCCCTAGCTTTTTGTCGCGCCTCGTGCCTGGAAATGCCTCCCCTGTATCCCACCGCTATAGTCCGTTCGTGGGGCGAACGTGACGTTTTCGGATTTTTGTCCCGTGTTGTCTTTTCCTTTCCGTCCTCCTCCCACCTCTGTTGCCGTGGTGTAACGGTACTATGCTCTTTCGGGTAGATCCGGGTGCGTGATTTGTCCTGCGGTTTTGAGATGAGATGCAAGAATTGCTTGCCCCTCCCCTCCCCCTGCCTGCTCTCCTGGGTCACTCGCACTTTGTGCGTGTTGCGTTCCACCGGGGTATCGATTTCAATCTCTCGCTGCTGCACTCCTTGCCCAGGTGGAGGAAGTGGTTGCACGTGGTGATGCGCGAGCGCTGAGCGAGGCCGACAGGCACGGGCAAACGCCTCTTCACCTCGCGTGTTACAAGGTAAGGTCTAGAACCTCCCTCGGGACGTGATACGGATAGGATATTGGGAACGATATTATGGCAAGGTAGAGGAAGAAACGATCGGCCATCGGTGAACGGTCCCGTGGGAACAATGCTCGAGGATATATGGTCAATGGTCTGACACCTAGGACATGCGTTTTCATGAGTACACCCCTCCAACCCTCCCATAACATTTGCACAACCGCGGCGCGCGCACCGCTCGTCCCCCGCCCCCCCTCCCCAAGGGATCGAGAGTGATGACTCGCCTGCTCGTGGAGGGGGGAGCGAACCTGGAGGCGGTGGACGTGAACGGCAACGGGGTGGTCCACGCTGCGGTCTGCGACTCCCCCGCCGTCCTGGCCATCCTCATCGACCACGGGGCGGACGTGACCGTGTCTAACTTCGACGGACTCACGCCACAGGTTCGTGTCGTCGTCGTCGTTGTTGTTGTTGTTGTTGTTGACGGTGAGATCGTGCCTGTGGGGTGCAGAGATGCGTGAATGGGAGTCCGGTCGAACTATACCGGGAGTACACGATACCCCCCACTGTCCTCTTTCGCCTGTAGCCAACTGGTACACAAGTGCACCGGTTTCCCCCCTTCGCTGTCAATGTCGGTCTCTCCCAAACGTTTGACCCCCTCCCCCCCCACCCCCTCCACCTTCTTCCATTAAGTAATTCCT